ACATTAATGGTCTTTTGCTAAATCTTCAGCGGGCCCATTTGCATGCCTAACCCACCTCTCTTCTCTCCACAGGTAGCTCCCACTGCCATGACACGTCGCCCCGCCTGACATCGAAGAGCAACTGAACGAGACATGAATATGAAGCCTCTTTGGATCCTTCCTTGCCTCGTGGTGGTGTTTTCCATGGTGGCGGAAGTCCACGGCTTCAGCCCGTGTGGCAAGTGTGTGCGCGGAGAAGGCAAGCTCACGTGCCCGAGCGACATGGTCCCAGAGCGCTTCTCTGTCCTCATTTCGGACTACAACGAGACGAGCGAGAGCGTGTTCGAGTTGCGGTGCCTGCACGGGGCCAAAACGGTGAACTTCTCTCTGATTGATGACTGCAGCTTCCCGAACGTAAAATACGTGCTTTTCAATCGGTGCCCAAGGCCCAACGTGACGTTCGCCGAGGTGTTCCGGCGCGTCGGGATCGAGCCGGAGAACGTCGTCACCTTCTCCTTCCTTTCCGTGGACACCGGCCGCCCCGGCGAGGATCTGGAGGAGTGGCACTTCCGAGGACTGGGCAACCTGACTAGCCTGAAACTTCGAGGCAACCATTTCCAGTCTCTGCCGCCGAATATCCTTCAATACACGCCCAAACTGAACTATTTTCAGCTGTCATTCAACAATATTTCCACCCTCTCAGAAACGCTTTTTCAGAATACGACCCAACTCAAAATTCTCCACCTTTACGAAAACCAGTTCACTCACTTGCCTGATGGACTGTTCAAAAACCTGAATAAACTTACCAACATCAGCCTCTGGAGTAACAATATTGAACGAATTAGTCACAAACTATTCCAAAACCTGCCATCCTTGTGGTCACTGGAACTAGCCTTTAACAAAATATCGACCTTGCATCCCGATGCATTTGCAAGTCTCCCGAATTTAGGCAAGCTCTTGTTGGTTAGCAACAGGATCGAGAACCTTCCAGAATCCTTGTTTAGGAACTGCACCAACTTAGAATATGCCCATATGAGTAATAACAGAATAACGTCCATGCCTGCAGGACTGTTTAGAGAAACGAAGAATATCTACAGCATAGAGCTCAACAACAACATGATATCCAGCCTCCCAGATGATCTATTTAAGGGACTAAACAACTTAGGAAAGTTAAAGATGAAAAGAAATGCACTGAAGACCTTACCCTCAGGCCTCCTGGCAGACCTACCTAAGTTGGAAGTTCTGGATCTACAGTCAAATATCATTGAAGAACTTCCATCGGGATTCTTGGACAATCAGCGTATAACGGACATACTAATCTTGAAGAACAACAGCCTTGCAGAATTACCTGAGGGAATCTTCAAGAACTGCGCGGGGCTCCAGGAACTTTACCTGAGCCACAACAAACTAAGTATCCTGCAAAACTCCTGGTTTCCTGCACCTGCCACGGCTCTTAGGAAAGTGGACTTGGGGAGCAATAATATCTCATTCTCGTCGTTTGCAAGTGGACAAGAAATTTCAGTTGAAGAGAACTTTCCTCTCTTGAATCAAGTCAACTTAGAGGAACTGTCTCTTGAAGATAACAGAATTACAGCTGTTCCCCAAGCATTTAGTAGTAACTACGTGAACCTCACAAAACTGAACTTGTCTCATAATGATATTGAGTTTGTGGATGCCAATGATCTTATCTTTAAATCCGATGAAGTGGCTCTTGACCTCAAATACAACAAAATCAGAACTATTAACTTACAACACATTCAAAATATTGCAGCGTATAAGGTAATTGATCTTTCCATAGCTGGCAACCCACTCGTATGTGACTGCAATCTATACTGGTTTTTAAGAATACTGCAAGGAAAAGATTTAGACAGAGAAGTACCTCAACTTCAAGTAAAAAGCCCTGAAAGCCTGACATGCTCATACATCGGCGATGAGACCACAGACAAACAGCTTCTGCGAGTCAGTTCAGAAATGCTTACTTGTAGCCTGCAGGAGTGTCCCGAGAGGTGCAAGTGTTTTACAAGGACACATGACAGGATGTATATTGTCGACTGTGCATATCAGAAGCTTCATGAGATACCGAGAATCATCAGTCAGGAAAAGCAGAATTTACGCAACTATTCCCTCACCTTAAATCTAAGGAACAATAGTATTTCTAACCTAGATCGGGTAGAAGACCCAGAGTACCGCTACTTGGTGAACTTGACAATTCCAAATAACAGTCTCATCTCCTTGAATGAATCCGTTCTACCAGACAGCTTACGAGTCCTTGATATCCGTGGGAACAACTTTACGTATTTAGAACCATCAGTGATAGACTACTTTAATAAGACAGATATAACTTTAAGTCTTGGAGAGAATCCATGGATCTGTGACTGCAAACTAACCGATCTCCAAAGCTTCCTCCGAATTCAAGAACTGAAGGTGAGTCAATTAAGTCATTTGTTTATCGTAACATACTGGAGAATCTGAACACGTGTATTTCCATCGCTATACAGTGGGGGACTTTGACACATTTCCACGGAGCTACCTCGTGGTCCAGTGCCAGCAGCGCTCAAGGCACTCGTCTTCTATTCACAGGTTTTGGACTTTTACAACATCCGATGCACGAATTTCAACGAGACACTGATAGACGTGACGGAAGGTGATCTGTGCCCCATTATTTTGCCGCCGGAGGTCATCATCGCCAGCACAGTGATCAGCATGTTCTTGATTCTCTCTGGGGTCTTGGGTAAGGGATGTTGCATAATGTAGAGTAGGGAAAGTTATATCAGTCTTCATATCTCTCCGTGAGAGGTTTTTTTTTGCAAGATACGTCGTCTTTTGATGTGATGCAGGGAAATGCCTTTGTGAAAATTCAGATATCCTGATTATTAAGACGGTGTACCTTTCACATGATCATTTCAAAGAAGTGTATTTACGAGACAATAATGTGGTTATTAATTTGTTAAATATTTTATTTCCCAGCTACTGTTACCTTTTGGAAGTACAAGGAAGAAATCAAAGTTTGGCTCTTCACTCACCGGTTGTGCCTATGGGCTGTGGCGCACGAAGAATTTGATAACAAGAAGTACGATGCTTTCATCAGTTACTCAAATAAGGTACGTTGACAGGAGAAGTGAAGTGGTGTTAATGAAAATGATGGTGACTGTGTGTGTGTGTGTGTGTGTGTGTGTGTGTGTGTGTGTGTGTGTGTGTGTGTGTGTGTGTGTGTGTGTGTGTGTGTGTGTGTGTGGTGTGTGTGTGCGCGCGCGCGTGTGTATATTGTGTGTGTGTTTGGACTTCGCGTGTGTGTATTGAGAATGGTATCTGCAGCCCGTGGGAAGACCAACATCGACGGATAATTTGCACCGATCAGGTAGAAACTCATTCTTGTGTTTTCCCTGTGTGAGAACCCAAGGATCCTGACATGACATTGCTGGTAGCTGTATAAGGTGTGGATAATATTACGTCTGAAGACAATGTGTTACACTATGTGTATCACTGAAGTACAAAACTTCGTCCTCCTTAATGCTCTTTCTCCTTCAATCTTGGGCACAAGGGTGGAGGAAGGTTCGCAGTATCTGTGCCTGGACAAAGACTGTAAACTGTAAGCACTGATATAGGGGGGGGGATGAGGTTTGCTGCATTTGACCCAGGCTAGAGGTGAAGCACGTGGTCTGATCTATCAGGTAAAGTATGCCTGGGTGAAGTACTAAACTCGGTGGTAAGGCAGATTAAAACAGCGCTTTGTGGCAAGTCGGACTTGAGTGACGATGTCCTATGGGGCGGTTAAGATGGCAGACACGATGGCCTTCACTTAGGTGATAAGAAAAGAGAGCCGTAAAAGGCAGCAATTAAAAAGATGTATATCAGTGAAGGACAGCTGGTAATGGGAAAAGGAATGAGCGAAGAGCAGCTGTCTTGCTTAGTTGGTACCAGCGCCCCAACCTTACGTAATCCCTTACAACGTCCCCTGCCACATCAGTTGTCACTAGTAGATCACATGTGTGGAATCAACCGGTCTTGAGCTTGAAAGATCCTGTGGTGGAAGTGCTGAGACCCGCTCAGTGTACCTTCTGCTACCATGGAGCTGTCATAACCAAACGGTATAGATGCCACTAACATACATAGGTATACCCAAATTAGAGCCCAGGGAGAGATGCTGCAGGATTTTGCTCAAAGCATCTGGGAAGCTGGTCTGCTTCTTCAGAATCTACCCACAAAAGCTGCTAGTGGATATGCGATTGGTTACAGGAAACCGCAGACAACCAGGTAGCTATCTCCTTTGCATATGTTGCATGGCATCCACTCACTATGTCGTGGGGTAAAATATTTTAGTGGGAAACCATGCTAATTGACCCATGGTAGATATAGTGCCTGCTGCAGTTAGTTGTCTCTGGACTTTGGCAAAATGACCCTGAAAAAGGCAGGAGATCAAGGCGCTGCTGCTGCTTACCTTGGGGGAAATATAGACTCAACCATAGGATTATGACTGAGGGTAGTAAGTTGAAGTCATTGCATTCCTGGTAGTTGCCAGAGGGATTGACAGTTGCAAGGGTGATGATGAGATTACTTTATCATTCACCTCTACAGTGAAGAGTGTCTAATGGAGTTGGTGAAGTGGCCATTGCAGTATTTATGCAGAAACCATTAAGGCACCTGATGGAGCACAGGGGGATGGTGGAGCTGCCCATAGCTAGTACTGAAAGTGTTTTGCCACTGCCAGAGAGGTTGGCAGAGGTGCACCATCAGGTGGGACCCAACTTGATGGACCCATGGTGAAGGAAAGGCCTTTCAACAAAGCTGCACCATCTCTGGGTGGAGCTTCTAAAGTTGTGCAGCTGATCATCAAGATTACATATTGCATCAGGTTCAGAGAGGTCTACTGTTTGGAGGTGCTTCAGTTGCATTAATATGTTACAGTCTCCCAGTATTGTAACATTAGTGCCACTGTTTTGAGAATAAAGACTAAAGCAGTGTGAATAAGGCGTGAGATAAAGTGTAGTCTTTACACTTTTCTCTCACCATATTTGTGTTATTTGCTATATTATATTGTAGAAATATAAAGAAAGTTGTGTGTATTGTCTTCACCAGTGCCTCACTCTGTGTTGCCTCTCCCTTGTTGAGCATGAACTCCACAAAATGAATGACTCCTTCACTGGTTATGCAACACACATTGAAATTACTTATGACTATTTTGAATTAGCTCTTATTAAAATTTGAATCTCTGATTTATTTCATGATGTGAGAACACAGAATAGTCTGTGTCTATGGCTGCATAATACTGTGTGATATACATGGAAAGCAGAGAGAGAGAGAGTTTGAGTGATTGAGTCAGTGAATGAGTATGTCAATTAGATTAAGATTGTAATCATACATCTATTCTTAGAATTTAGAAGATATGTTAGGCAAATGCAAAGCAAGTAGATAATATACAAAACAAACAATCTTACATATTTTTGGCTTTTCACAGGATGAAGAATTTGTGAACTCTGACTTAGTGCCAGGACTTGAGTCTGGTGACCCAAAGTACAAAGTGTGCTTACACTCTCGTGACTGGTTGCCTGGAGCCTACATTCAGCAGCAGATTACCCAGAGTGTGGAAGCAAGTCGCAGGACCATCGTTGTGCTCTCGTCAAATTTCATAGAGAATGTCTGGGGTCATCTTGAGTTTAAGACGGCTCACTGCCAAGCTTTGAAAGACAGGCACAACAGAGTTATTGTTATTGTACTTGGAGAGGTAGGTATCTAACTATCTTTGATCTAAATTTACTTTAACCATTGAATACACTGGTATAGTATTTCATTTAGTTAGAAATGCTAATATGAAAGTAAATTTGCATTTTTCTTAATTCTAGGTTCCTCCTGAGAATGAGCTGGATGAAGAGCTGAAACTGTACCTCTCAACCAGAACTTACCTCCAGTTCGGTGACCCCAAGTTCTGGGAGAAGTTGCGGTATGCAATGCCACACCCCCATGACCTCATTTATAAAAAACAAAGAAAACGGAAAGACACAGACAAATTAGAATTGGTGAAATCAGATTCAAAGCAGAGTAAGTGAAAATGAACTTAATGAAAAAGCACATTGGAGTTCATAAGCAGAGTGTGGAAGTGGCAAATTCCTTTTAGACTTGAAAATTAGTCTCTGCTTACAAACTTTATTTACTCAAAAGTACTAATTACTGTCATCATTACCAGTGATACCTCTAATTGTACGGATTGCAAAAATAATGGCAAAAATGTGAGTAGCACTATTATCTTTAAATATTTTTTTATATCTATCTGTGCCTTCTTCAGAAATACCATTACAGGCACTAATGAAAGCTTTGGAGATATCATACTGGTTTTATTTTTTTTTACTAAATAAATCCATAAGTTAAGGGTAATTTTAAAGTATTAAAGATATTTGATGGTACTTTTGAACTCGCTATATAAGTATGTATTACAAAAAATTTATTTGTTACTCTGATTTAATAAGAAGACAGTGTTATATAATACTCGTTGAAAATAAGTTTGAAATTGTTGAGCAATATATCTAATGGAGTGATGGGTGACCCTATAAATATAAATGGTACCCTATCTTTAAATAATGAAAGTGTGCAAGTGAATGGTTGGCTGAAACAAAACTTAATGTTAGCCAGAAAAAGTTGCTAACCAGTGGATTCAGTGCTGCAACCAAATGCCTGTGAGTGAGGCAACTGTGAAGGCGATTTTCTTTTGCCATTGTAGTTAATTTAAAAGATAAACAGTTAGAAAATGAATGTCAAAGGGTATGATATATGAACAATAGGAAGGATGGTGGTGGTGATAGAAAAACCCAACTATCAACTTACACTATCAACTATTTCTATCACCACCAACTATGATGGTGGTGATAGAAAAACCCACAATATACAAAACGAAAATTATTGAAAAGTGGGATCTCTCCATGATAACTGTTTACTAATGTGATTACTTTGTATTCTCTGTGAATTTTCTCTTCTTGGCCAGCTAGTGAAATTCAGTTATAGCTTGTGATGTAGGTTGGCATGTTTACAAGCCACATAAGTATCTTGTAATGACCAATTTTATTGCTGTGGCTGATTACAACTTGGCTGGACAGTAATACATAATTTACATTTTCTCTAGTCATATGCCAACAAAAGGTCAAGCATACTAACCTTTAATGATGGTACCCCCTTTATTTCTTACTTCGTTTTTATTTTGTTTATTTTAGAAACATTTAATATCAATTTATGAACACAAACTGCTCAAGAATGTCCTCCAGACTAAAACTTTCCTTCAGAATATTTTATCTTCTAGATTTTTGTATTAGCCTGTAATGCCTTTCCATTTGATGGCTAATAACCAATTTGTACAATTTTTCCAGATTTCCTCTAAGAAAATGTGTTGTCGTGTCTGATTGTTTTATAGGAAGGGATATAGAAAACTTCATATTTTTTATTAAATACATATTTTCACATTTTATACTACAAAACTACATTCAGTTACTCTTTACGAATATGTTGTTACCATGAAAAGTGTATAATGCCACAATCAGTAAATATATAATGTATAAAAATGATTTGCTATGTTTGGTAGATAATAGTTAATTAGTCAAGAGAATTCAAAAGAGAAAGACTGTGACATATGTACTTGAGTGCACATGCTCACACACATGCTCACACACACACACAGACATGCACATGCACACACGGACACAGACACGCACATACATATGCACACACACACGGCACACACACACGCACGCACACACGCACGCATGCACACACACGCAACACACACACACACACACACACACACACACACACACACACACACACACACACACACACACACACACACACACACACACACACACACACACACACACACACACACACACACACACACAAAATAGTACTTTAACTTTCTCTAAGGGCACACATAGCTTACAGGCCACATGCACAAAATAATATGCCAAGAGTATATTTAATGTACAAAATGTTTGTATATCACATTTTTTTTCTAAAGGTACAAGATTATCCAATATTGTACTTGCAGCTCTATTTTATAAAGACATTGCAAAAATGAAATAATTTTTGTGCAATAACACCTTTCATTGTGTTACTATGCCAGGTAAGTTTTACTCTGAGCAGGTAACCAATGACTACTCAGTACATTCTGTGAATTGTTTTAATGGTGAGAATGATTTTCTTCTATTTTGTATGTTTTCTTGAGAGTTCCTAATTTTTTGCAAAAAAAAGGGGGGGAACAAGAATGAGTTTTGGATTTCATAAAATTTATGCCCTTAATGTTTATGAAAGATTACCAAAAAGGTAATTTGAGGGTCTTAGTAAAAAGGTTAAAAGGTGAACATTTCATTACAAAAAAGTATGCATAGCCTTGACAGTGGTTCTACAGTTCACCATCTCTTCCTGTGTGCTTTAAATAACTGGGGTCCTAATAGCTCACAGTGCTATAGAGGCTCTAACTTCCAAACAGCAGGGTAGTATTTTAAGCACAAATGGTTATTAGCAACTTCTTTATTACTCAAGAGGTTAAAGAGAATCCTGTAAATCTTTCAAATGTCTGTTCACATAAAACTCAAAATGACCACAGGATAATAACTGATGTTAGAAGGACTATGTTTTTACACCTAAATGACTAATATCTTTCCTGATATTGAAAGCCTGATGTAGAATTCTTACAGAGCTAATGTTTTGATTCTGCTGTGTACATTATGTAAATAAGATTTATATTAAGGTGCTTTGTAAATTAATGTCAATAAATCTTCAAAAATACTGTATACCTTGGTATTATTTATGTATACCATTTCAGATGCTTTTTGTAAGCATTAGTGGATAGATTTAAATTTTCTATGAACCTGCAAAAATCAAGGTATTTTGTCATATGAATGATCAGTGAATTACATATCAAAATTTACAAATAGGAAAGAACATTTTTTTGTAAGGACGAAGGTCTGAATTTTAGATATCAAAAATTATATGCAATATGGGTTAAAAAGTGAGAGGAAAACAACATATCATTGTAAACTATTATTGTAGGAAACAGTAAATAATAATACAGGAGATTTCTAAAAGGGGAGAGTGTAGATTATGTGATAAGAGGATGCTAAGTGCTGAAGACATGATGCTATATGCTAGTAGGTAAAAGCTGGTTACCTCACACAAAAGGTACTTTTAGCATGTCAGATGCATTTTCCAAATATAATGGAGCAGAATGTGGCACTTTTATGTTGATTTATATTGTAAACATAGCATCAGTAGTATGTAAGGCATCCAGCCCCATGCTTTCAGCAAACAAAAGAAGTACACATATGCATATACAGGAAAATATTTGTACTTACATTGCCAGGTGCCAGTTTTAATATGTCTACATACATATTTGTCTGAAATATTCATTTACTAGATGCCCCCCTGAGTCTGCCATTGGAAACAATAAGAGTAACAATAATAATGTCACAACAATGAGTGACCATAGCTATCATGTTGACTAAATTATATTCTTATCCCATCCTACTGTTCTCTAGTCTCCCCTTACACAATTCTCAGCCAGCTCCACGTGACATCATAGGCCTTATCACCCAAAACTGCCCAGAACTCACAGGTGATGAGACCTTGGCAACAACAACTAAGATGAGCAACAAGTTACTCATATGTGTTAGATGGTTCTTTAGTTCATGACTAATAAATATGTGATTTGTAATCACATTGATGTAAAATAAAATTGAAACCAGTCAAATACATCTCTTGTGCTGTAAAGTTATTCTCATTCCTTCCTTTGTTCTACATACCTTGTAAGGAACACCACTTATAATGATAATGGTAATAATAGTGATAATGATATTAATGATAATGATGATAACAATGACAATGATATGATAGTTATAGTAATTATAAAAAATATTAAGAAAACAAGAATTACTACTAATAGTGATAATGATGGTGCTGATAATCATGAATGAAATAATGATAATGATAATAATGAATATAATCATAAAAATAACAACAAGAAGCAATATTTGAAGTATATAAAAAGAATGAAAACAATGATGATAATGTTTATGATAAAAATTATAATCATTATGGTAATAATAACAAGAATATTAACGGAAATGATAATAATAATGAAAACAACAAAAACCATGATAGTGTTAATGATGATAACAGTAAAAATTGTAATAAACAATAACAACAATGATAACAATAGTAATGATACCATTAACATAGAGAAAAAGTAATATTCATAATCATAATCATAATGATAGTAGCAGTAATAGTAATGATAAGGATAATAGCAATGATAATGATACTTACAATAATGAAAATAGTGCTAATGCTAATAGTGATAATAGCATAATAACAATAATGATAATAACGACAATAATGATAATAATGTAATAGAAACAGTAAAGATAATGACAATAATACAAACTAACATTGGTAATGGTAATGACAATAATGATGCTAATGATGACAATTAAGAATAAAGATAACAATAACCATGATAAAGATAATAATAAGATAATCATAAAATAATAATAACAGTAATAATCATAATGATAAGTGTGAATATAGTAATAATGGTAATAATGATAACAATAATGTTAATGATAACAATGAAAATAATGTCAGGAATGATTATGACAGTAATATTGATAATATTAATAATAATTATGTGAATTGCAATGATAATAATAACTAGAATAACACTGATGATGGTAATAATAATAATGATAATTACGATGATGATAATGATGAAAATAATAATGATAAGAATGATGATAAATATGATAATGATGACAATAAAAACAAAAACAAGAACAACAATAAAATGATGATGACAAGTAGTAGTAGTAGCAATGAAGGTGATGATAATGATAATAATGATAATGAAAATAATGATAATGATAATTATGATATTAATGATAATGATAACAATAACAATGATAATAATTATAATAATATTGATGATAATAACAATAATAATAACAGTAATAAAAACAATAATAATAATAATAAAAATGATAATAATAATAGTAATAATAATGATAATATTGATAATGATAATGATAATAATCATCATGATAATAATAATGATAATAATCATGATAATAATGATAATGATAATAATCATGATAATAATGATAATGATAATAACAATGATGATGAAAATAATAATAACAATAAATAAAAATAACGATAAGACTGATGACAATAATAATGATGATAATGATAATGATAAGAAGAACGATGATGATGATAATAATAATAACAATGATAATGATAACATTGATAATGAAAATTATAATGATGATAATAAGAATAACAATCATGATATTAGTAGTAGTAGTCATAGTAGTAATGATAGGAATAGTAGTTGTGCTAATGAAAATGATGATAATGAGAATAATGACAATGATAATATGAACAGTAATTATAATGATGATAATAACAATAATAATATTAATGACAATAATGATACGGATAGTACAAATGATAATAATAGCAACAGTAATATTAATAGTAATCATGATAATCACAATACTAATAGTAATGATAATAATAGTAATGATGATGATGATGATAATAATAACAATATTATTGATAATGATAAAATAATAACAAAAATAATGAGATACATATAATAAATTATGATAATGATAATGATAATAGTAATAATAATGATAGTATTAATAGTAGCAATAATAGTAATGATAATGATATTGATAATAGTAATGATAAGGATGATATTGATAATAGTAATGATAACAATAATGATAATCATAATGATAATAGTAAAAATATAATGATAATGATGACAATGATGATGATAATGATGAATGATGATAATGATAATGATGACAATGATGATAATGATGATTACAGCGATAATGATAATAACAACACTAATAATGATAATAGTAACAACAATGATGATGATAGTAATGACAATAATTTTAGCATTGATAATAATGATAATCTTAATGATAATAATGATAATAGTAACATTAGTAATAATGATGATAATGATAATTATGACAACATAGATGATAATCATAATATCAATAATAAATGGCAATATTGATAATAATAGTAATAGTGATGGTAATGATGATGATGATGATAGTAATAATAATGATAATAATAGTAATAATAACACAACAACAATAGTAATAATATAATAATATAATAATAATAATAATAATAAATAATAATATAATAATAATAATAATAATAATAATAATAATAATAATAATAATAATAATAATAATAATAATAATAATAATAATAATAATAATAATGATAATAATAATAATAATAATAATAATAATATAATAATGATAATAATAATAATAATAATAATAATGATAATAATGAGAGTAATAATAATGATAATATAATAATGATAATAAATAATAATAATAATAATAATAATAATATAATAATAATAATAATAATAATAATAATAATAATAATAATAATAATAATAATAATAATAATATAATAATAATAATGATATAATAATAATAATAATAATAATAATAATAATAATAATAATAATAATAATAATAATAATAAAATAATAATATAATATAATATAATAATAATAATAATAATAATAATATATAATAATAATAATAATAATAATAATAATAATAATAATAATAATAATAATGATAAGGATAAGACTGATAATAATGATGATAATGATAATGATGATAATAACAATAATAACAATAACAGTAATAATTAGGTAATAGCAATGATAATAATAATAATGATAATAATGATAATGAAAAAAATCATTGATAACTACAATAAAAGTAATAATGATAATAATGGTAATAATGATAATAATGATAATAACAATGATAAGAACAATGATCATAATAATGGTAATAATTAAAATAACTTTAGTAATAATGATGATGTAAAAGGGTTAATGATGATAATGATGATAATGATAATAATTCCACTAATGATTATAACAATTGTAACAATAATGATTATTATGATAATTGTAATTATTATGAAAATAACAATAATGATAATAATGATAATGATGTCATTACTGGCAATGATAATGATAATCACAATGATAATGATAGTTATAGTAAAAAAAAACAATGATAATAATAATCATGATAAAAGGACAATGATAACCGCAAAAAAATGGGGTGATGATGATAGCTAAGGATGGTAATATTAGAACTGAAATAAGAGAAATAAAAGATAATGACAAACACGATGACAGAAAAGCAAGAATGATACTGGGGATCTGAAATTTTAATAACTTCCTTATTTTAAAAAGACCCCCCACTGGGTCATCTAAATACAGATTTTGTAATCGATAATTACTTTTCAAATTATCTATTTTACTCCTATAGTAAAAATAGATATATTAAGATATTAAATATCAAAAATATGAATAAGATGGAGGGGAAAATAATTTCATATGTAATAAAAAGTTACGTTACATATCTCAGTTTTATAACCCTGACTTAAGACTTGTGAATATAAACAAAAATTTGTTGCTTCGATGCCTGTAGGTCGAAGGCGTCAACAGTGCATTCTTTGGTATTTGTCTTTAAGTAGCTCTATGACCTTTATGAATGCAGTAACGAAAAGGAAGTCCTGGGCATGCTTGTCGAATTAACAGAGAGAGTAAGGTTGGTACAGTTAATCAGCCTAAAATAAGGTCCCTCAGACTGTAGATTGGTATTTCTTCTTAGTTCTTCTTTTATAGGGTTTTAGACTTGTGTCTATATTCCCAGGATCTTGATACCTGGAGTCTTCAATCTTTTGATTGCAGGCTTTCTTTTGTTAATAATTATTGTTATGTTCTCTGGAACAATATGCAGAATGAGGTGGGGTCTGAGTTGGGAGATAAAACCTATATATTTGGATAGACTGATACAAACCAAGACATTTTTCTTCTATGGCAATATTTGTGCAAATTCTTCCCAAAGGTGCTATATGTAAATGAACAGAGGTAAGAGCCCACAGGCTTGCCGAAGGGCAAGCCTAGTCACGGCAACTTAGATTGTTGAATAAAGTTTGTGTCATGGAGTTAGGTTGCTTTATTGGTCAGCATGTATTGGGTGGTATAAATTCCTGTTGAATTTACCAAAAGGTTGGTTGGATTCCCGTAGTTGTTTTTAAGTTGGCATGTTGATCTGTAGACTTTCAGAGATGGCAGACATGACTAGAGTTTTTAAATGAATGAGGGTTTGTTTTCACCAAGCACTTGTTGCTAGTAATCAGAATTGGTAAGTCAGTTTTAGGCCTTCTTGAAGGAACATTGATACAAATTTTGGTAGGGAGATGAAATGGATGCTCTTTTAGCTGCACAGCTTCTAGTTTCGCTTCATTACGCTTTTTCACTTTGGTTTTTACTCATGATAATACTGTAACTTTTCACTATATGAGAGGTTTCTATGAGAGACGGGGTTAATTCTTTACAGTATGGATACATTCGCCAGAGAATAAGTCCCATATTCCATGTCATAAAATTTATTCATCAATCTAAGTTGACGTGACTGGACATGTCCTTCGGGCACTGCCTGAGGGGAAGGTTGATGGAGGTCAGCAGCCCTCCTGGGAAACATTGTCCTGGAAAATATGAATAATATAGACAGTCCCACATATCATTTGTACGCTCAACCCTGCTTTGAATACATGGAGGGTTCTTTGTCTTCCATTGCAGGGGTTGAGGGCCAGTTGAGGGGGGCTGCAAGGGCCAGACCATTAGATAATTTAGTGACTGATTCTATGTATATTCTTCATATTTTACCCTGCAATTTCCTTGGTACCTTTCATGCTCTCCCCCTTACATGTCCTCCCCAGCTGTTGGGGCCAAGAATATGGGGCTTTGGGGGGGTTGTGCAGCACAATTCCTGCATATATGTGTAGTAGAGGGTTAGAGAAATCCATTGATACCAGATCGTCGTGATCAGGTATGCGAAGGTATTTTGAATTATTGCCATGATTAATGTTACAAAGAGTGATGCACAGAGATAGAAGGAAATGGAC